CCTCCCCCCCTCTTCTCCCTCCTTCTTCTCAGCTACAGTGATTGGATCAGGAATGGACATATAACCCAAGTGAGGATAACACTAAACTCCAGGATTCTTGCATGAGTTACTGGGCAAAAGAGGATGTACTCTCTGCACAGTCGCGGAGAAGGTAGAGTGAAAGTCTGGAACCTCAGGAGAAAAGTCTGATGGATGATGAAGCCAACACAAAGCAAGCAGGAGCCAGGAGGTGGAGAGAGACCCAGTCCTTAGGGCACCAGTGGACCCCTGGAACCAGACGTGCCTGAAATCGGCTACCCCGTAAATTTCCGTCTTCAGCCTAAGCGCACTTGGCTTGGGTTTCTGCCGTGGCGCCTGACCTGCACACCCACCTCTTGTTGGAGACAATGGGGACTCTCCAGCCCTTGATCTGGTTGAGCTCGGTGTCCGAAACCTCGATCTGCAGGGGCAGACGGGGCACCCACACCATCATCTCCAGAGGACTGGTCAGGTGCTGGTACGTGAAGTTCACCACCACATTCACCTTGCCCTTCATTTCCTTCCCGTTGACAAAGACGTAGTCACATCTGTCAGAAACCTAGGAAGAGGGGAGAGACGGGTGGGGGATGTGTGAGTTTTTATCGCATCCCAAAGCAAGAGAAAGCAGAGGAGGAAAGCAGTGTCGTGACTCTTTTGGGGTCACAATCACAAGGAGCTGGTCCTAACGTGGACACTGGATTTTGCTTTCCGAGACAGCAGAGGCTGTGATGACGGATGCCACGGGGCCCCATCCACCTCTCCCAGGAGCTCTTGGACTGGTTGGGTACAGTCACCCCTACCCGCTGCAGGTGCCTTGCTGTCAATCTATTCTGTACCTCCTCTGACAGACTCTGCCCTTAGGTGCTTGAGCCGAACCTGCAGAATTACCTGGGTGCTCTGTACCACTCAGCCCACCTTTTTGCCCGATGATGACTTCCTGGTTTGCCTCAAGGAGGGACGAACCATGTGTATAGTTCATGACCCGGAGCTCCTCTGGGGATCAGCCGAGGCTCGATTTCATCTGAAACCATCCCGGCTCAGCTTCTCCCCTTTCTGCATCCGGCCTCCCTCACTCCCATACGGATGTCTCCAGAGAACATCCTCAGTAAGTCATGTGCAGACAAGCTCCCATCTTAGCTGTGCGGGCAGATTCCGAGATATATTCCTCACGGTTCCTGGGAGCCTCTCAGTGGGATTCTCCCCACCTGCCCACCGTGGTAACTAGGCTCAGTAATTCACTTCCCGTCTCTTCCATTTAGGTGTCCTGTCCTGCCCCCCACTCCCGCCTCCACGTCCTGGAATCAGATCCCCAGATGCACCCGCCGCCCTCCAGTCCGTGGCTCAGGCTCTGCTTTCCAGAGAATCCAGACACGTTAATCCAGGCCCATGTTAGCTCATTTCATCCTCAGAACAACCCCAAGACGAGCATTCCCATTAGTCCCATATTCCAGATAAGGAAGCTGAGAGTTAAAGGAGCTTGACTGTGGTTCCGCGATTCGGCCCTGGGGTCTGGCTGTGGAATCCACGATCTCAACTTGTGCTGGTCTACCAGACTGTTCCCCTCAGCCCACGTGTGACGGAAAAGCCAAGTTCAAAGAAAAGACTTTGTCCCCTTGTCTTTGTCTCCCAGCTCTCCAGGGGAGCTCGTGCTCATCCTAAGCAAGACTTGGGGCAAAGCTTTGGGGTCGTGTGGTAGCATGAAGACGGCCCCCAAAGATACCAGGTTCTGATCCTCGGAACCAGTACGTTACCTTATTTGGCAAAAAGGACTTTGCGGGTGTGATTAAGTTAAGGGTCTGGAGATGAGCAGATTTTACTCTAGATTATCCAGGTGGACCCTAAACGTAGTCCGAGTGCCTTTACAGGAGAGGAACAGAGGGACATTCGACCACCGTGACAGAGGAAGGACATGTGTCACCAAAGCAAGATGCTACACGGCCGGCTTTGAGGATACAGGACAGGGCCAAGGAATCCAAGGAAGGCGTCTCTAGAAGCTGGAAGAGGCTGGGAATCATTCTCTCCTAGAGCCCCTGGGGGCGGTGCGGCTTGGCCGATACCTCGTGAAGCTGATGAAGGACTTCTGCCCCCAGAACTGCGAGAGAATAAACGTGTGTGGTTTTCGAGTCACTTTTTTTTTTTTTGGCCACACCGCACAGCTTGTGGGATCTTAGTTCCCTGACCAGGGATCGAACCCGCACCCCCTGCGATGGAAGCGCAGAGTCCTAACCACTGGACCGCCAGGGAAGTCACTAATGTGTGTGGTTTTAAGCCACCGGGCTTGTGGTCATTTGTCCCAGCAGGAGACGGCCACAGAGAGGGAGAGGAGGATAGGCAGAGGCCACGAGGGCTCCTTCCCGACTCTGGGGCTTGGCTGGTTGAGCTTGGAGGGAGGATGGGCAGGAGCAAGGCCCCTGATTTATTGAGCACGTAATACGTGCCCGGCCGAGCAGCTGAACACATCCCAGGTGTGGTCCCAGTTAGTGGTCACGAGAACCCAGGACGTGGGTGCCGTTACTGTCAGTTCACGGGAGGTCAACCTGAGATCCCAGACATTAGGTACCATTTCCCAAGGACGCACAGCTGGCAAGCGGAAAAGACCAGACTCAACCCAAGTCTGCCCCCAGCTGCCCCGCCTCCGGCATGGGCATCACTCTTGCCCCATGCTCTCTCGCAGTCTGTCGTTTTTTAAAGGATGCGGGCCTTCCCTACAGCACTTAGAGGGGTGTGAAGGAAAGCAAAGCAGAAATCACTAGGTTGTTCAAACATCTTAGAAAGGATTTGCTAATGACGGCCCCTTTGATCTTCCTGGTGAGGAAACAAGGGCACAGCACACACGTGGGGGCACGGGGAGGCTTGGCATCCAGGGGGAGGTCAGTGACTCGGAGGGAAGCGCGGGCCCGGGTCCATTTCTGAGCTGGAGCTGGTAACCCTCCTGTAGCGCGAGTACTTATATCTGCTGAAAGGCAGAACGGAACCAGCCCGCGGGCTCCACTGTAACTGGTGTCCTGGCCACGGCCCTCCCTTCTTCAGGACTGGCGAGTCTTGAATGTTAGGCTTTTCTCTTTTTACGCCTTTCGAGTCTGAATCGGGCTGAATTGCCAGAGATAAGCCGACAGAGAGGAGAGAGAGAGAGAGAGAGAGAGAGAGAGAGAGAGAGAGAGAGAGAGAGAGAGGGGGAGAGGGCAGATAAGCCGACAGAGAGGAGAGAGAGAGAGAGAGAGAGAGAGAGAGAGAGAGAGAGAGAGAGAGAGAGGGAGGGAGAGGGAGGGAGGGAGGAAATACTGACAAGACTTGGTTTCAGAAAAAGAAGCTGTTTCATGACCTTAATTTTCTGGGCCCTCTTGCCAAACCAGGGGTTCTAAGAAAAGAAAAGACAGGTGGAGATCATCGTGGGTAAAAGCCCATCCCCTAAATCCCCCTGTGGATGAGAGATGCAGATGCCTGGTGTGCTGGGCATAGTTATGAGGATAAAATTAAGTGTTCATGTTTTGTTGTTGTTGATTTTAAAACTCAGTGTTTTTTCCTTGAGGAGATAAGAAAAAGTTGGGGCTATAGACATGGGTAAAGGGGATGAGGAAGGTAAGCAGAGGGAAAGCAGGGCTTGACACCCAGGCAGCTGCTCTTAGCAGACGTGTGTGGAGGCAGCTGAGGCCCCGGACTTGGAAGGGCAGTGCTGGGTCGGAGGGGCGGAGTGCTGAGGTAGAGATTGTGTGTGTGTGTGTGCGTGTGTGTTTACATCGAGTAATAAGAACAGCACCCTCATTTGATGGGAGGTCTGTGAATCTCTGCCCCCGGCCCCCTCTGGTTTTCCGTGCCCGGCCCCTGTCCTCGCTCTGTGCGTGGAAGCGTCACTAAAACTGTTCGCCAACCACACCTGGTTCCTCCTTGGTGGCGTGGTGGGACTGTCCTTCTGGCTCACCTGTCCCACTCACCTGTCGACGATGAGCTGTGAGTGGAACCGACACGGGTCGCCTCCTGTGAGAACATTTTAATTTCCCACGAGGGACCTTCCAGAGGTCCCCGGCCCTCCAGCTTGGGGCCCGGCGGGGGAGGAGGCGGTGACTGCCCCTCCAGCCTGGGCTCCGAGAGTCTGTGACAGGGACAGCCCCCCACAAAGCCACAAGGGACGGGCGGCACGGGCGGCAGGTACACCTCTTGTTTGAAGTCACTGATATTTCAGACTGTTTGTCACATCACATTGATGGAGCTTATTCTGACCACTGCAACATGCCTGGGCATAATCTGATTAATAAAAATAATCTATTTTAATAAAAAGAGGACGACAAGTCTGTTCTCTAGGTCTGTGAGTCTGTTTCTGTTTCGTAGATAAGTTCATTGGTGCCGTATTTTAGATTCCACCCGTAAGTGATATCACGATGTTTGTCTTTCTCTGTCCGACTTACTTAAGTATGATCATCTCTAAGTCCGTCCGTGTTGCTGCAAATGGCGTTGTTTCACACTTCAACAAAATAAACTTACAAAAAAATAGAACGCACCAAATTAACGGTTGGAGTAGGCTAGGGCTGGGTGGATAAGATCTATGAAGACAGATAAGATAATCAGATGGCGGCTGAGAGGATCCTAATTCTTGCAAACTCGAGACAAGCCAAGAATGTAATTGGGGTCTGCGCCAGGGGCCAGAGGTCTTCGTCTGAAACAGGCTACTCACGCCTCATCCCTGAATGCCAGGGTGTGGGACCTCCCCGCCTCAGGCTAATGACGTTCTCGTGATTAAAACTGCACGCAAGGGCTTCCCTGGTGGCGCAGGGGTTGGGAGTCCGCCTGCCGATGCAGGGGACGCGGGTTCGCGCCCCGGTCCGGGAAGATCCCACGTGCCGCGGAGCGGCTGGGCCCGTGAGCCGTGGCCGCCGAGCCTGCGCGTCCGGAGCCTGTGCTCCGCAGCGGGAGAGGCCACAACAGTGAGAGGCCCGCATAGCGCAAAACAAATTTACAAAAATAAATTAAAAAAAAAAAAAAAAAAAAAACTGCACGCAAACCAAGTAAGTAAAAGTCAGGGAGGAGGCACGTGGGGCCTTTCAGGCTGCACCCCGGGGGAGGGTGTGTGTGAAGGTGCCGAAGAATTTGAGTGGAATATAAAGACTGAGGGCTCCTGGGGGAAAGACTCTGCGGGTAAGTAAGTGGGGTTTACTCAGCCTGTGTGCTGGGGAGTTTGGGGCCGTGACACCTGCCTGGGGGGGAGGGATGCCCGTGAAAAAAGCGTGGCTGTGAGCCTGTGGTACCGCTGGGACCTGCCTGTTGTCGTCCTTGCACGGACGGGACTCCAGCGTAGGAGGCATCAGAGATCTTTCATTTTTGGTGACGCTTGTGACTCAGCCGGGATGCTGCAAGTTATGGCTGCTACCGCCTTGCTGGCTCTCCTGGTCTCTTCTTGCTTCCAAAGACTTTCAAGTCTGTCCAGAGGAAGCAGCAAAGGAAGAGAAGGAGGGAGGGATGGGGAGAGACTTTGAAGGGCTTCCTCTGACTTCCCTGGCCTCACTGGAGATGCCTGGCGGTGGGGCGGGCTTCCCACCCCTGCTTATCCCTGGGGCAGTCTGTGGC